TTCCCTCCTCCACCGGCCCGGTACCGTCCGGCACGTCCCGGTACTTCCCCCATGCCCAGTCCTTTACAAAGAAAGAGAGGAAGAAGAACAAGAATAATCAGGCTGCATGTGCTGGCTGGAAGAATTTCTTTAATATATCTGTAAGGGATTTTTTTTGATAGCTGTGAACTCGAAGCACGTGGAACTGTAATTGGTGTGGAGAGGTTTTGTCAGGATCTTTACGATCTCAGGGCTTGATGGATGACTATTTTTGTAAATGAGATTAAACTTCTAAATTAAACTCCTGCGCCCTGTGGCAAAAAATACCACAGCATTAGAATGAAACGCAGATGGCCATGTGCTGCTTTTCACCTGTGCTGTGTGCCAGGCCTGGGGAGAATGGCAATGACCTGGAGAGTGTGTTCCTCTGGAGGAGCAAACAGAGTCACTGCCCCTGCAGGAGGAGAGCTCTGGCTGCAGGGCTGTTCCTGGGCTCTGCACCAGTGGGACACTGTAATTACATTTTGGGAGTGCTGGCTGTAGAGCCAGGGCCTTGTGCTGATCCTTTTGCATTGTTCATGTCCCATTACAAAAACGAGCAGATGTGCAGGGGTAAATAGAGTTAGATGGAAAAGGTGGTTTACGTTTCATGAAAAATCCCCTGAGCCTTCCCCAGACAATGCAGAATGTGACCAACCTTTGTCCCCCTGCCCAGGACGACATGGAGCAGCCAGGCCCAGGTGGAGGAGCCTCTCCCCCTCCCTCGGGAGCACCTGCAGCCGAGCCAGGTACCCCAGTGGCTGTGGCACAGCGCTGCCGTGTCCCTTTGTGGTCACTGTAACCCAGGCAGAGGCACAGTGCTGTGAAACCTGACCCTGTGCTTTGCCTCTTCCCTTCTCTGCGGAGCAGGGAGCAGAGCAGGAGCCAGCTCTCACCATGCAGCGCCGAGCTCGGAGCTCCCCGGTGGCCATGGCAGCCCAAGAAGGGAGAGGGCAGCCGAGGAGCCTGAGAGGAGAAAACCGAGGCTGAAAAAAGGAGAAACAGAGCTGCTCGTCCTGGACCCAGAACATGTGAGGAGTCTTCAAATCTTGCTGTTCTTTGCAGGGCTGGGGTTTGTGTTTCTCTGAGACCTGGGAGGTGAGCTGTAAGCAGTGGCTGTTCAGCTGCACTGTGTGTGAAATGTGTGAAAATCAGTTTGGCCAGAGTATTAACTGCTGCCTGTGCCACTCAGTGCTGACCCAGAGCTGCAGGCTCAGAAGTGAACACTGCAGTGGGTAAATCTGGTCCCTGCAGTGTCCCTGAAAGAGAAGAAGAAGAAGAAGAGCCCTCCTTGCAGCAAGGATGGGTTCTCAGATGTAGCTCTTCTGGCATAGGTCTGATTTTCAAACATTCCCACTTTTTGGCATCGGCACAAACCCACGCTGTAACATCTCTCACTTGCAGTGAGTGCAGCTAAAATAGCTAAAGTAGCTGAAATAAGCACACAAATGTCTGTGGCAGAAATAAGTTGTTTTATTGGTGGGGGATGTAGCAGTGAGGCTCCTTCATAATCTATTTACACAAGTATTAATATTAACAAGCTTTACTACTGTCCTTTACAGCCTCTGATGACAAGATTCCAGGCTGCCCTGAAGAACTACCTCACCAAGCAGATAGAACAAGTGAACCTGGACCTGCATGGAATGGTACCCAGCCCTTCCTTCACCTCCCCACAGCCCCTCCTGCTCAAACTGCTGGGACACAGCCCTCCATCTCTTGTGCCTGCAGAGAACAGCCATGAAGAGCAGCAAGGAGCAGCGGGAGGAGCTGGGGGTGATCCTCTATGGGGCCCAGCAGCAGCTGGGGCAGCTGGAGGAGGAGCTGGAGAAGAGCCACGAGCGCTGGTGGCAGGCGGCGGAGGCACGGCAGCAGCTGGAGGAGGAGCTGCAGGCCCTCAGGGCTGCTCACAAGGAAATGTGTCACAGCACCGAGGGGGAGCGCAAGAAAGGTGACCCGGGCACTCCTGGCAGTGTTTCCCAATTCTAGGGCTGTGTGCAGAAATTAATTGGAATTTAGGCGAGCGCTGGATTGGACAATGCAGCAGAATTATTAATCAGGAATAATGTGCTCATTGAAAAGTTTCATGGATTCTCCTGGAGTTCTGTGAGCTGGATCCTGCTTGTCAGGATCTTTGGTTGTGGAGCTGTACTCCAGAGGTGATGTAAATGTGTGTCCTGGGGAGGGCTGGTTCCCTGATGTGTGAGAGATTTTGCTTCAGGTGCTTCTGTATTTCTTTCTCTTTTATCTGTGTTTAAGGTGTACCCTACAAACAAACTTCTCTGTCCCTACAAACAAACTTGTCTGTCCCTACAAACAAACTCCTTTATAACTATTTTGTCCCTTGTCCCCCCAGTTTCCACAATGCAGACCCAGATTGAGAACCTGGCCTTGGAGCTCCTCTACGTGCAGAGCTTGGACCAGGAGATGCATCACAGGCTCTTACTGATGAAACAGTCAGCAAGGAGGGCTGAGGCAGACAGGATCCGGGCTGAGGTGGAGAAGAAAAAACAGGTACCAAGAAAAGCTGTCTTTGAAATAAATGAATGCAGGTGCCAGCAGTCAGTCCTGGAGGATGTACCACCTTATCAGGAGGAAGGCTGGAATGACTGAATCATGGAAAATGAGTGGGGATGTTTTTCTCAAATAACTGAAAAAAAAAAATAAATCCAGAGGCTTTTCTGAAAAGGAGGAGAAGCCCTGCGTGCCCCAGGATGGCAACTCTGCCCAGAGGGTTTGCAAGCCTCAGGACAGTAAAGCACTCTTCACTTGAGGAGAAGGGGTGTGGGGGAAGGAGGGTATTTAATGGAGAAATATCATGGGTGCGGGTCTTGAGAATGATTCTGAATCACAGAATTTCACAATGGAAAGTGAACTTTGGGAATGAGCAGAGCCAGTCGGTGCTGGAGCTCCCTCTGCTGCCTTCCAGGACACAATCCACGGGTACTGCTCTGCAGAATTCCATGCAAACTGTTGAAATACAGTGGGGTTAGGAGGGTTTTAACAAAGCATTTTCAAATATACATTATTGACATTCCCAGTAGCTGGACAGGTGAACTCAGGGTTGACAGGAGGGACTGTGGCTTCAGAGCTGACCTATAATCTACTGAGTAATAAACAGTCAGCTGAGGTTTCATTCTCCTGCAAGTCATCCCTGCTGCAGTCCTGAGCCCTTTGTGCATGAATGGGAGCGTTTCAGTAGGACTCCAATGTAACCCAGCTGCCAGTTTAAATTCCTTTTTTAGCTGATATTGTTATTAATTCCTTTTTTAGCTGATATTACTCTAGTAGGACACAGTTGGTTTGAGGTTCTGTGACTCACCCTGGACTGTTTGGCTCTGTAGGACATTTTCCTGGACCAGCTGACAAGGAGAGTCCACCAGCTGCAGGAACAAATTGCTCTGTTTGAAGCTCAGCTTGTGGCCCAGGCAGAGGACACAAAAGTGACCCGGCAGGCAATCACTGAGGTAGGAGGGCCCTTGTCCCTTGGGGTTAATATTTCCCTGGCAGGGCTGACCCCTTTGGCCCGTGCTCACGTGCTGTGCACAATGTGGGACAGAGTTTCACAGTTTGTTCCCGTTTGGAAGAATGAGGAGGTTTTTTTTCTTTTCCTTTGTCCTTAAGAAGTGCTTGTAAATCACTTCCTCCTGCCCTTCTCAGCAGTTTTTCATGCAGAACTGTGCTC